ATAGTGCTGCAGCGTTTTGCCATACAAAGGAAAGATGGCTGAGAGCAAGGTGACTTTTCTCAAGTTTCCTAGGACACACAAAGGACCACGTCATCTTCCCATCCTAGGCGGGGTGGCAGGTGCATCTGGTAAGCAGGAAGATGTTATTAATACAAGACAAATATATCAGTGCAGCAGAGGAGCACTGAGCACGGGCCACGTGCCAGGCTCCACGAGAGCCGAGGCACACTCCTCCTCCTGGGCTTTAGATGTCCTGAGAGCCACACACATCGTGGACTAACCTGGGGTTTCCTTGGTTCTTGGCATCACAGGGAAATGTACTCAGACTGCCTCAGTGAGAGACTGCTTGCAAAGGAGGAAGTGGTTTCAAAGAGAAAGAGTTTATTACAGGGGAGGACTCTGTCACAGGGGAACTGGGGTGATCACGATGAGGCGCTTCTTTGTTCTCTTATTTTACCATACTTTCTGTTTTAGGATGTTCCATGACCTACTCTTGTGTGTTTGTGATTTGCCCCTGCCCTAGATTTAACTTTGAAATTGAATGCCCTGCTGGGAGATTTTGAGCAGCCCACAGCCAGTGACCTTTGACTCAGGAAAATTTTCCTCTAATGGCAGTAGTTAGTTCTTTCTTTCTTTCTTTCTTTCTTTCTTTCTTTCTTTCTTTCTTTCTTTCTTTTTAATGTATTTAGTACAGGATCTACCGGGTCTCACTACACAGATCAGACTTGTAGTAACCCTACTGTTTTTAGCCTCCCAAGCGCTGGGATTATAGGTGTGCGCCACCATGCCCCATCTCATTTGCCGTCTCAGTGTGCCCCAGAGGCAGGGCCAGCACGGCATACTGGGGATCAAACCTGGGTCCCTGTGTCTGCCTAAGCAGGTGCTTTAGTCCACTGAGCTATCTGGCCAGCCTGGCAGTAGTTCTTCTAATGTAGCAGTTAGGCCGATGGTTTTGCCTGCCCTGAGAACATCAGCTGTCCTGTGCTTGGGAAGATGGCATCAACATTTGTAGCTGTGAATGCTTCTGCTAAAGAGACTGCTCTTCCACCCCCATTTCAAAATAAGACCCAAGTGCCAGCCCCCATGGCAGATGAAGAAGAATCCTGCCTGCTAAATGGCCAGCAAATACTGCAGCTGACAATGCATACAAGGTATGCAATCATCGTCAGGAAAGTTTGCTCTTTTTTTGGTCATACTGGGGATTGAACTAGGCGCCTTCTCATATTGAGCTACATCCCAGCCCTTTTTATTTTGTGACAGGGTCTGAGTCACTCCATTGCCCAGGCTGTCTTGTAACTTGCTGTCTTTCTGCCTCAAACTCCTAAAGAGTCAAAGGGGGTAGGTTTGTGTTCCGCCACATGTAACTTGGTTCAAAAGTCTCTGTTTTGTTTTGCTTGGGGTGTGTGTGTGTGTGTGTGTGTGTGTGTGTGTGTGTGTGTGTATTTAGTACAGGGTGTACAGAGTCTCGCTACACAGATTCTCCTGCTTTCAGCCTCCCAAGCACTGGGACTACAGGCATGCGCCACCACACCCAATCTCAATCATGGTCTCAGCGCGCCCCGGGGGCAGGGAGCTATCTGGCCTTGTTTTGTGTTTTTTCACCAACGGTCAGTGTCTACATTTCCCACCCCACCCCAGTCTTGGCTAGCAGAGAGAGAGTTCACTTCTATCTGACTGGAACTGGAAGATGAAGAGAACGTTTTCTTTCCTGCATGGCTCTTTATGCCACAACTGCCCACAAGGTGGAGGCCTGGGCCACCTCTGCAGGCTCCCACTGCCCCCAGCAATCCCCAGCCCAGTGCTGTGCCTCTCTCCCTCTCCTGGCCTTTGCCCTGGGGGATTCTGCTGCCTAGTGTGCCCCCCTCTGCTTCTCACCGTTTCCCTTCAGCTCAAGAAAGTTGGATCACATATCTGGGCTGGAGAATCTTTGTATTTTGTTTAGCTTTGTGACAGGGTCTCAATGTGCAGCCCAGACTGGCCTCAAATTCACAGAGATCCTCCTGCCTCAGCCTCCTGAGTGTTGGGAGCACAGGTATGTGCCACCACACCCAGATGGAGAATTTTCTTTGGCCCTAATGTCTCCCTAGCCTGGCTAGGACAGGTTGGACAGTTTCTGTCCCTGACTCACATCCTCTGGGGCTGTTTGGTGAACTTCTCCAAGAGACATACAAATGTCTCCCTCTGAACTGCAAGGGGGACACCAGACAAAGCACAGTGGGTAGGAGTGCAGGCTGGGGCCCGCTGAGCTGGTCAGGACTCACTACAGAGCAGTAGACTCTTGCCCTCAGAAGCACCATGCCGATTGCCAGTGCCCTGCATAGGGAGTCCTGCATAGGGCACAGATTAAAACAGCAAGAGCAGGACCCAAAGTGAGAAGAGGCTAGGGAGAACATTGTGCCAATATGCCCTTGCCAGGAAACTCACCATCCAGCTGCAGCGACAAATGCTCTTCTTGGGCTGTGGTCTGGTGTCTCGGCACCTGGGCAAGGGTGGGGTAGGGTTGCACTATAGGAGGGAGTCCCTGTGGCTAGGGCTGGAGGACGGCTCTCACTCCAGGGCCTCAGCTTCCATTCCAGCAGGTTCCCTTGCAAACAGGTTACCAGTTTATGAGCCTCTCACTTCATGCCCTTCCTTCCCACTGGCCATCCACATTCAAGGGGAGACAGGAGCCTAGGACCTGTGCTCCCCCATTTGTCCCTCCTAGTTGAGCAGACCATCCTAGATGAGTCCTTGGAAGATCCTACTGGGATTAAGGCTCAGTATCTCTCACCATGGTCATAACCTGCTTTGCTTAGCTTTATTATTATCCTATTTATTTATTTAGGAACCAGAGATTGAACTCAGGACCTTGCCAGTCAGGCACTTATGCTGCTGAACTATCTCTCCAGCCCAAGAATCTTATTATTATTTTATTTTATTATCTTCTTTCCATACTCTCCCAAGTTTCCCTCTGCTCCCTGCATAGGTGACATGTCTATCCAGAGTCCTGGGCCCAAGCTCTGCCCTGAAGGGCTGTAGGGGACACTCAAACTGAGGCCTTGAGGCCCCTGGTTGCCCACAGCCCTGTGCTGCCCTCTGTCCTTGCCCTGGTCATACCTCCATGTCCACCCATGTGTCCATGCCTGTCCTTCCAGCCCACCAAGACCTCCTTGAGGTGGACCTGGTCCTAAGGAAACCACCAGTCTGTTCTGGGGACTGAGTGGTAGAATGACAGAGAAACTGAATGAGGCTTGGGGATCAGCTTTCTCTTCTCCACCTTCCCTGCTTTCTTCTCTGTGCTGAGCTCGGCTTGTTCAACTGTCCTGTGGGCTCCCCCTCTCTCCCTCTTGCTTCCACTCTAAGCCTGGTGCAGATCAACAATCTTAGCTGGGTTCCCTGCACTTGACAGAGAAGAGCTCAGACTCCAGTAAGGAGGTGGTTACCCCAGGATGTCCCAGTCAGGGGACCCACACCTTGGACTGTCACAGAAAGAGGCTTGGCATCAGAAATGGAAATCAGGAATGAGGAGATAGTGTGGTGGTCTAAGTACCTGCCTGGCAAGTGCAAGGACCCAGGTTTGATCCCCGGTACCACATCTCATGCTGGCCCCAGAACTGGGGTGCATGGTGCCGGCCCCAAAATTGGGCATGGTGGTGCATGCCTGTAACCTCAGTGCTGGGTAGGCTGAGACAGGAGGATCACTACAAGTCTGATCTGCACAGTGATACCCTGTATCAAATAAATAAATAAATTTTTTAAAATGGTAGTCAGTTTGCATTTCAGTTCCTCTGCTTCTTCCCTCTTAGCTTCACCAATCTTCTGTGTCTCCTTGGAAAGGGGGTGCCTGAGGGGCTCAGGTTGTGTAAGATCATGCACCTGGCACAGGGAGGAGACCCCGCATGCAGGCCACTGTCATCCTTAGTCGCACTGACCATGAAGGTCTGACATGGCACCTGGGTCCGCTGCCAGGTCACTGACAGCGCACCACCGCCTCTCTTTCCAGTACTGAGTACCTGATGTGCACACCACCCAGGCTCCTGCAGCCCCTCCTCCCCAAGCAGGCAGTGTATGGCTTGGACAGGGGAGAGAGCAAGGCAGAAAGCCTGGGGGGGGGGCAGCGATGGTTTGCCAGCTGCCCTTCCCGGGGGCCAGTCCTGCCTTTTGCCAGAACCCTCTGGGACCTGGACTGGTCTTGGCCACTGCTGTGGTAGTGTTAGTGGGGAGTCTGGAGAGCGTGATTTGAGGGACAGCAGGAGCACACAATTCCCCCCCCCCTTTTTTTAAGACAGGGTCTCTCTATGTAGTTTAGACTGGCATTGATTTCTCTATGTAGCCTAGACTGTTCTAGAACACAGCGATCCTACTGCCTCAGCCTCCTAATTGCTGCTGAGATTACAGGTTTTCACCACCAGGCCTCCCTACATTTTAAAAAGTTAAAGCCAGGTGTGTTAGAGCAAGCCCGTAATCCCAGCACCCTTCAGGCAGACACAGGAAGATCTCATCAGTGTTCAAGTCTAGGCTGATCAGTTTAGGGAGTTGGTAATTCACTGTCTCAAAACTGTGAAGTAAAATTTTAAACTTTTGAAAAGGCGGGGTGCGGAGTGCGGGCTGCGGGGATGTAGCTCAGAGGGAAGACCCTAGATCCCGCAGGTTACCAGTGGCAGGGAGGCGGCAGCGGACGGTTAGTTCAGTACTGCCCCTCCCCCATCCTCCATGCCTCCCAAGACACAGATGGGTAGGTGCTGCGCACTGCAGGTAACATCAGCAGAGCCCCTTTCTGCTCAGTGTCTGCACGGACGCATCCCACTCTGCCTCAGCGCCCGGCCGGCCTCCGGAGCCCACATGGAATCAAGGTGCAGAAGTGTGGAGGAAGCTCCACTAAGCCCCAGGTGCCCGCCCCCGCTGGCTCCGCCCGGCCCACCTCCCGGGGAAGGTGAGGCCCAGGGCGGAGCCCGAAGGGGGTGTTGGCCCGGCTCGGGATTAAACTGGCCGGCCGGACAGTTCCACACTTGCCACCCAGCAATGGGTCCGCTAAATCCGTTCCCACCCAGAATGCTGCCACTCTTTCTGCTGCTGCTGCTGCTGCCAGGGCCTGGACCCGAAGCCAGCGAGGGTGAGTATGGAGCTGGCTCCCTCGGACCTCCGCAGACTCCCCTGTCTTCTGGTGCACAACCACTCATCTTTTTCCAGGCACCCAGAAACGCTGTGCCCTAGTCCTCTCCCGGCTCTGTCACCCACTCACCTCACCCGGGCTCTCAGACCTAGCCTTGTCACTCCCTGGGCATACTTGCCATTGCTTGTAATCCTCCAACCCAGAGCAGCTCGCACTCCTCTGACCATCCAGCTTCCTGTCTGTAGAGTCCAAGTAGAC